CCACATGGCTGGAGGAGCACGTGGAGCCTACCTCTGAACCCTGACTTAGAGAGGCTGTCCTGTGAGTCTGATCCTGCTCTCACCCTCAGTGTAACCAAGACTATACTTTCAGGGATCATTTCTATAGTACTTAACTTGAGAAATGTGTTTCTAAAGTGATTGGTCTCACTAACCACGATGAAGAGCTGTTATGTTCTTTCCTGAGCGTGAAGTGGACATTGGATAATGATTAAGTTCATATGTCTTTTGTTTTTGATGAACGTTCCTAGTTCCCTTGTGGGACTGAGAGGGAGAGAATATGATCAGAGTGGTTATGTTTCATTGTTCAATATTATTTAGAGTTGTGTGTGGATTATACATCTTTTTTAATATTTTAGTATGAACAATGCCAATACAAATTGCAATGTGAGTTAAATATTGCAACCTTGTGTATAATATACATCTGTTGAGATTTGCTATCGCCGTTGGGCAGTTCAATCACGTGTGGACAGCTGTGAGTTGAGGATGAGCCCAAGATGCATCACAGTCACCTTTGAGAACAAATCTTTGCCATTTTTAAAAAAAAACTTTTCAGTGTTTCACAATTCTGGCTGGTTGATATTGTGGCCAACACAATATCATTACTAAGCACGCAACTGATTGATTTTCTATTGTCTTTACTTTGTTGAAATGGGTTTATTCTTATCCCATTGTGAAGCTAAATGCAGCACCTTGATTTGCTCAGCCCCCTTTGGCTCCTCTCACACAATACACAGGGTGTCAAAGGTGTTAGAGCAGTGGGGGTCACACTGTTTATTCACATGCAAATCCTCCTCCTCCAAAGCAGCTGCTTTATGAAATTTTAACTTGGAGATTTTATCAAATTTAATGACAATACATGTTTTGCCACATAAAAATGAAAGTTTAAATCAAAGAATCTACAAGTATGGCAGCTTTGTTTAACCTATATCTTTCAGATTCAACAACATTCACTTCTAATGTCATTTATCAACTTCTGCTTTTATCAACCCATGTTTAGTGCTGTTAATATAGCAATATGTGAGCTAACCTCGATTCCTCACCTTGCTCAGGGACCCACTTCAGTGTGGGTCCCTGAGCACACTGAAGTGTGCCGGGGGGACGTAGTCAAGGCGGGGGGCCGTTGTTGTCAAGGCGGCCGCCTTAACTATAAAGCGCTGCGGGAAACCCTGCACTTCCTCTGTCCAGTTGTGACATTTAGCCCATGAAAAAAAGGGATTATGGGGAAACATTTGTTTGAGGCCATTAATAAAAAACTATACCAGATTATTTTACCAGAAAGAGCCACAGAACATGCTGCTGAGAAATGTTCAGTTTCAGGTCTGAGCTTTAGTCATTTCTGTAGTTACAATTTGAGTGGGATTCAAAATGCGGTTTTCTGAAACAATGAATTACGAGGACTAATTGGTGTCTAAACATAAGTTTTCTTGAAATGAACTGTTTAAATAAAGTGTGAAATGGACCTTTATAAAGATTACACACTATATTTGGACATAGCCTGTCTTAAGGTTACCAGTCAGAGAAATAAGCTGTCTGACTTGCCATTAATTTTCAGGTTGACTAAATTCATTCAGTGTACCAGTGGACCACAAATATTCATCATTTCTCACTTTATCAATTCTAAGTAAGGCTTTTCTCTGTATCTCTGTGTATTACAGCTGCACAGTCCAGGAAAATAATGATTAATAAAAATTAACCTTGATATAAGAAATGTACTATACTTAACACTCAATAAGGGTGTCTATGTACTTAGCTGATATAATTCAGTCCTATAATAATGGAGCAGTCCTTCAAGTTATTGAGTTTATTTTCATAGATTCATTTAAAATCAGATAGATGTAGCCAAATCTATATAGGATTGATAATTGGACTCCCCTACTACTTTAAGATGTTTTCAGACATGTTCTGTGGAGGATCTAAGGTACGGACTTTCTCTGCTTTAGACGTGTTCACACTGCAACACATTTTCTGCAGGATACAGGATAGGTGTAGTGAACCAGGCAGACGCAGAATGTAACACATAAATTCTGCTGCAGAGCTTTTTGTGTTTACAGCACATCATCACAGACGTTGGTTTTTATAACCACTAACTCTCTTGACATCTTGGTCTGTAACTTTTAGGTGTCAATCCTCTAGAGCAGTGGTCACCAACCTTTTAAAGCACAAGATCCATTCCAAGATCTATCACCCTGATATCTTCCAAAAAACCTACTTAGGAGAGTCATATTTATTATTTTTGCAATTTCAGTTATAGGCTCAGTGTACGATCATAAAGAAAGGCAGTTATGCAACTTTATCTAAACAATACACAATACTTGCATTAATATAAATTCATGTTTACAGCATCTGTTTCATGCACAATATTTAACTTTTCAGTTCAACAATATGTTCTGCAGAGCCACTGCAGCACAATGTTTTTGACATTTAGTTTAGTACATAATCCGACTTGTATTGAAGGGAATGCAGGGGATAAACCTGCAGCTCTGTAGGAACATTTAGGAAAAGATGTGTAAGTAAAACCCAATGTTTCCTTACACATGAATGAATGATCCCAGTGTCCTACACACAGCGAGGCAGTCATTGATTGAACATTGGTATCTACTATAATGCTAAAAAAAACAGGAAGCCACGCGTGACGTAAACTCGCTGCGTGACGTAATACGTAAATAAGTTGATCAAGCTTGTACTCGCAAGCTTGTTGTCTTCCTGTCGCTTTAATTATCTGTCGCTGGATGACAGTACAACATTAACGGTCAATCTCGCGGAGATACAGCTGATTTGACGTTTTATGCGACAAGCGAGGACATGCCATCTGACTTCGTAACGTAACTACAGAGAAAAGCTCGTGTGGACAACAAACCAGGGTGTTTATCCAACGAGCTAACTGTGAGTTAGCATCGCTTGACTCCACATCGTGCGCTCTCCATGCTCACTCTTTCTTCCATCTCGTCTCCGGGTGTTGTCGTCGGCCTGTAGCTTCTCTCACCGGGTCCAGTGCTCGGTTGGTCGCCAGGAGAGGATGAACTGGCTCTTCCCCTTGTCCAAAGGCTCCGGACCTCTCCCTCCTCTCAGCAGCCTACAACAACAAAGACAGCGGCAGGTCGAGTCGCTGAAAGCCGCTCACCCCAGGTAACGTGCGCAGCCAGCGGCGGCTACATGAACCAGACCCCGGTGCTGCTGGTTAGCTTGAACGTTATTTCCTACAAACGTGGAATATGGCCACCATAGTGTTTCCCGATCACTTAAATGATGTCAGTTAGCAGAACATGTTGTATTGGTTTGCATTCACATCATCTGTTTACTTAGCTTAGCTAGTTACCTGGCTCTCAGATAAGTCACAATAAACACGCTAGGCTAATAAACATCTGACAGACATTTAATATTCCGAACATGTGTTAACTGCAACATTAGTCACTTAGTTTTTGCGTGAACCTTGCACCCTCTCCGTGTGGGTGTATGAGTTGACTGACTTGGGACAGCAAACCCTTCTTCTAGCTAACTATCCGGACGTGGTGAGTCGGGGCTGTGTTAGCTAACTAGCTAATCAAGTCACACAGACAGTGACGGTGCCTATTTTTAGAGCCGGTCTCACAAGTTGTGGCTACACCGTGTCCTGTGATCACTCCAGTGCTCGTCAAGCCAACTTGTCACGCATGTACTTTTACAAAGTGCTAGCTAACTAGATGTGGGGATTAAAGTATTAGCCTTTGTTTACCAATAAGCTCCTGTCATCACAGTGACAGTGTTGTTATTGGTATTTTTTAAATATTTCTACTCAGACATCTACGTGAACGAACTGTTCTCAGACGTGTTAAATCACAATCATCTCCTTCCTGATGTAAAGTATGAAGAGTGTGTGTCAAAGAAACTCACCATATGGACACGTTAGCAAGTTTAGAAACGAATGTGAAGAAACAGCTGTTCCTGTGGAAGTAGAGACCTCAAGGCTTATGTGATGTGGGGAATTCAGATATTGACCAACGATCTTCAGGAACAAGTGCATGTGTTTGAGAGCTCAAAGTCCCTAAAAGACTGGACTGTACAGGACAGGGTGCAAGGACAGATCATGACTTAATATTATAAGTGAAATGAATTTATTGTTCGGCTTATTTTGAAAGGTAGATTGTTTTTTAAATTTTATTTACTTTTGGGACCATATCAACTCTACTAGCCACTGATTTTTTTTGCACTTGACATAAACTCTTTGCAGTAATGACAGCAGTCAACAGTACGGCTTTACAGTTCCTGCATCATGTATGCTTGCATGATTATAGTTGCTGTTGAAAGACAGCCATGCAAAGCTAATGCAATGAGGCATTTAAATATTTCAATCAGCATTGAACATAGGAAATGTGTGCAATAGTAGGTTTTTCGATTTTTTGGTTAGAAAAAGACCAATCTGCATGAAAACAAGTTTTTAAATCAGGAAATGTAAAGTTTTCTTACAAGTTCTGATATGGAAATAGTTACACTGTGATAAAATACTGTATATTACTGTCCCCTATTATTGACACATGTATTGGAAGTTTCAATAAATATATTAATGCAATTATCAGAATTGCATTACATGTGCCATCGCACTTTGGTAAATTGTCCCGGGTTATGGTACACACTTGAAAGACTTCCTTTGTTGAATGTCTCTTCAAACTAGCAGAATACCCAAACGTTTATGGAAAACACAAAACAAGTTTTGCAAGTCATGACCACATTTTCAACATTACATATCTTGACATTGTTGTGTTTCTCTTTTTCAACAGCCTTGCAGAGATCCAGAAAGATGTGGAGTACAGAATACCATTCACAGTCAACAACTCCACCATTAGTGTCAACATGTGAGTCAATTTTTATATTCACAGTGTGAAAGCATCACCGATTTGTTTAGAATTCTGACAACGAATTAATCACACAACACAAAGATCATCATCATTCGTTATTTATTAATGGTTCATGAATTATGAAAAATATGAAATGGTACTTTAACATAAGTCTATTGACTATTGTTGAAGGGTTTTTTCCCTTTTACTTGTTTTTTCTGTTTTCAAACAAACTTTACATGACATACATTATTACGAATAAGAGCATAGAAGAGTACAAAGTATTATGACATCTTGTATATACACACACACACACACACACACACACACACATCCTTTTGGTTAATTCTTCAAGATTATGTGGCATAATTACACAGTTTTCTCTTCCTTCTTTCAGTCTGCTACCTCCTCAGTTCCCTCAGGAGAAACCGGTGGTCAGTGTCTATCCCCCTGTTGGTCATCATTTAGTTGACAGTAATAATGGCACCATGATCAAGAGTCCCCTCATCACTAATGTAAGTAGTTGTCCAAACATTAGATTTTGATTGACTTGGTTAAGCTGGTGGTTCTTCCCAATGGTTTCTTCAGGCGTTTGCTGGAATGTTGAAGGAAAGGAGATCATTGGCTGTATATCTACTCAGGTCTTTGATACAGGGTTTCTGGCTGGAGGAGATATGCATATGTATAAAAACACAAGACAGGATGCTGTTTTTCACAGTACTTTCAGACCCTAGCAAGAAGAAAAGTGAAACCAATATGGTTACTGAAGATGAAGTCCTGAACTAAACACAAATCCTTCACATTTTTCAACCTCTGCTCAATACAGAATATCTTTGTTAAGACAAGACTTATTGGGAATTGATTTGAACTTGCAATTTTCTTTTCCTCTCATATCCATCTGACCATGAAACGTTAACACTTGACCACATACTAAAATGTTTGTTTGGTTGCACGTCAGCTCACTTTCCCAGACACCATTAGTCAGCTGACTGAGTGACTGTATTGAGTTGATGCCTCTCTCCCTCTCATTCTTCACATATTTTTTCCCGGACTGTTAACATGTTACACAGTTAAGTCTATGAGAGATTATGAAATCTCTGTGTTTGATGAAATTCTTGATTTTTTGACAAATTTTTCGCCCAGATTTATTTGTGCAGTAAAGATTTTGGGAGACGCTAAGAACTCAGAACTCATTTTCACTCTTCATAATTTTTTGATCTATAACGTTTTAAATAAGCCTTATATTAGGACTAGTCGAGTCTATTTTCTCTCAAGTCAGAAGAAAATCCAGCATAGTTTTTTCCTTCATTTGGTTTAGGTGCTGCAAAGAACTGCTTAGTTGCTTTATCTAAACCCTATAGTTCACTATTGGCCTTTTTGTTGGCTGGGTAGATAATCATGGTGTATGGTAATGTGTACACTAAAACAGATTTTGTCAGTAGTAGTACTATGATTTTAAAATAGTGGTGAAGGTGGACTGACATAATTTTGAATGTAAGAGAAAAACATTCTTCTCCCTCAAAAAACATCAGTTATTTCAAGTTTTTGTTAGTTCATACTTGAGCTTTTTATGTAATGTTATTCTCACCCTCCTCTTGTTATTTATTTTGTTGTGCATGTTGTAGTTTGGGATGCACTCAGATCTGGGTAAGGTGATTCAGAGTCTGTTGGACGAGTTCTGGAAAAGTCCTCCTGCCTTGATGTCCACTGGTGCTGGTGGCTTTCCATAGTGAGTTTAATCTCAATATTTTATTTTAATAACAGCAAACACACGTGTTCTGCAACCTGGGTCTTTTTATTTAACTAACAATTAAAATCAGGTTATAAAAAATATAGTCCCAGCTAAAGTTCCAGTTTGTAAAAATGAATATTTATGGATCTGATGTTCTCAAAAAAGGCATTTGATCACCTGTCTTATTCTTTCATACATTAATCTGTTTAATCTTTCTGTTTTCTCTTCCATGAATCACAGCAATTTGTACAAGCCATCAATTCATCCTTACCCCAATCAGGCTTTCCACTATGGTCCTAGACATGTGGGTCCCAGTCAGGCTCCGGGTGCAGCTCCCATGCCTCACCCAGGTGGTGATAGTGCTCATGGGCCGCCTCGTGCTCCAGCTCCATATGGACTGATTTCTGATCTGCCACTTCCCGTTCCTACAGGAGACTCACAGGTACACTGATGCTGGATGATGCTCATAAGTTTGATTGTAACATCAATCCTACACACAAACACGTTGGCACAAACACACAGGGACCATCATGTGAGCTTTAAAACACCTATGGTTTAGCTCATTCAAGGGCAGATGCTGCCTTTCATCTGTTCGGCTGTTCAATCTGTCAGTCAAGTTCAGACAAATCAAGTTATGACATAGAAGCATGTTCAAGAATATGATGTGCTTACACCACTAGCCCTCTTTTCTTTCTCAGGCTGGACTGAACGGACATATGTACAAGATGCCTGAAATTCCAGAGTCTTTCCCTGAACTCTGTGACATGAAGTAAAGTTTTCTAAAATATTGTCAATATTTTAATATTGTGACACAGTTTGTTAAAACAGTCTATAATGTGTGGTTCTTTGCACTGATAATTCTGTTTTCCCTGCATTCTCAGTCTGACTCAGCTGTCAGACCTATCTGAAAATGAAGACCTGCTCCTGGAGTTCTTTGTGAGTTTGCCACAGCTCAAGCAGATCACAAGCGACAAAGAAGAGCTGGTTACCAGCATAGTAGGCATGGCCAGTAAGTTCATCTCCTGCCTTATAGGCCTCTCATGAAAGTAAAGTTGAGCTCTTCTCAACTCAACATTTGTTTTTGTCATTCATAGAGAAAAACCTTCAGATGGAGCCACAATTGGAAGGAAAACGGCAAGAAATGCTTTACAAGGTTTCTTCTTATATCAGCTCATTTTAAATGCACACAAATACTCATCAAACCCACTCAGGCAATTATCTGTGAGCTTAACGTTGGGCTGGTTTTGTCTGTTGTGTTCACAGTATGAACAGCTAACTCAGATGAAGTCGGACTTTGAGACAAAGATGCAGAGACAGCATGAACTCAGTGAGGTGAGAGGCTTCACTCATCTCACTATGATTGACAACGGGTTTTTAGACAGGACATTATTGCATGATTCACCTGCTTCCAGTTTGATGTTTCATAAAATGTTTTCTTTATTAGGAAAAGGTGTCAGTGCTAGCTAGCTGACTCATTTTCAACTTTAGTGCTTTGGCCAGATGTTTTTGTGAGCCATTTGGCTTAGACTTTTAATTTGGGGAAAATATGGTTTGTTACTTGAATTGTAAAAGCCCAAATGAAGCTGTTATCTGTTATGAGAAATCTAAGACAGCATTGTTGTTACTTTGTAAATTGAGGAAACCAGAGGAGGAAGTATTTAAAACTTTGAAAAGACCAAACCAAATATGCTTGAACATGTCTTTAACCTGAAACTGAATCTTATTGCTTTGTTTCTTACTTCTTTATCCCTTGCTAGAGTTGCAGTCTTAGTACTTTACAGGCTCGGTTAAAAGTTGCAGCCCACCAGGCTGAGGAGGAGTCAGAGGAGACGGCTGAAAACTTCCTGGAGGGACGCACCGACATAGATGAATTCCTGGCCAGCTTCATGGAGAAGAGAACGGTGAGAGGCCCGAACTGTAGTTCTTGTGTGAAGATAGATGTGTCATACTGTTGGTCTGAAGATATCTTTTTTGATTGCTCTTGTTTTTCAACAGCTTTGCCACAGCAGAAGGGCCAAAGAGGAGAAGTTGCAACAGTCCATCAACACACATGGACAGTTTCCTACCAGCCACTAGAGCACAAGGTACAACAAACTTATGAGCAAACAATCATGCGCACAATCTACAAAATCAACTGATAGACAGAATATAAGGGGAACTGGTCGGTCAAAGCTGACTGTTGCACAACAAGCATACCTCGTGGTTTTAATTTATAACTCAACTTACCACCATGTGTCATTGTCATCTGTTCATTCTACGTCTTACGTTCCTCAGGTTTGGTCTCTTCTGCTGCCAACTAAAAGGATAAAGACACTAGGGAGGAGGAAAGCACACAGAGTCAACAACAGGCACTTTGAAGAAATAGCAAGATGTTGATGAAAATGTTGGGCTAAAAAAAAAGAAGCTGCCTGTTGAGCTTGTTAGTTAATGTTTGACTGTGTGAGAGCAGAGATGGAGAAGCTGTGGAGTCACCACAGGGAGGCCAAGACTGGAAACGTGGTGGACACATGCCTAGCTGTTCCACCACATTACTAAGGATTGATCACATTGTGGATAATTTGTTATGACACATTCTGTCTCTGTTTGTCCAGTTTGACAAAGAGTTTAGTTTCTGTTCAGGATTCGAGTCACGTTTGGGGCACCTGATCAGAGTGGTTGATGATATGAACACTTTTGACAGAAAGTATTTCTTAGGACAGTATTCTGAGTCTTACATCTTTCCATGCAGTGACTGAGTACATGTCATTTATAGATGAACTGTTGAAACACTGACGTTGTTTCAGTCTCTGAGATCTTTGTCAAGTCGTTAGGGTTTTTTTTTTTTCTTTTTTTGCATTTCAATCTTCTGTTTACACAGGGAAGGTTGTTCCAGCCATTTTCATAAATCGCATCATTGGTGTCATTGTCAAACTTGTTTGTAATTTAGCAAAACAAATTTGGGATTCACCAACGAAAAAGAAGCAGTGTTTTTAACTTGGGCTGTGGACATTTAGACTGTGCAGTTTCCCTTCGAGGAATTTCTTGAAAACATCTTAAACATCAGTGTGTTTGCACGAACATAAATAATCTGATTTGACCCGTGTTGATTAATCTATTGTACGTTGTTAGAAATTAGTTTCAACGTAAATAACAGAACAATCATGTTTTTCTTCAGTTACTGTCAGGACTTATGGCTTATTTTAATTTTAAATATGTGCTGAAACAACACAGTGACCAGTTTAACATTATATAAAGTGTATTTAAATCAGCTTAAGAGGGGAGTCAGAGTACTGTAAGCCATATAAACGGTTAATAACACTATTAGCTAAATTCCACACTTTTGACAATAATCAAATTATTTTGTATTTGTATAACACACTGATGATTTTTCACTGATTAGCATCATTATATTTTTTTGTCACGCCCTTTGAACTTGAAATGTTTTTGAAGAGATTTGGGACAATGTTGAGGAATATTAGGTGAAATGCTG